AAATTAACCCAAAATCACCTAAAATTAACCCAAAATCACCTGAAATTAACCCAAAATCCCCCACCTGGGGAAGCAGCTGCAATTTTGGGCTCCCCAGGTGATTTTTGGGGTTCAATTTTTGGGGCTCCCCAGGTGAGTTTTGGGGTTCCCAGCTGATGTTTGGGGTGGGATTTTAGGGAAAATTTTAAGTGGAAATCGCCAAATTTTGCTGGAATTCCGGTTTTTTTTTAACTCCTCAAATCCCCGGGTGATTTTTGGGTTCCCAGCTGATTTTGGGGTGGGATTTTAGGGATGAAATAATTAAATTTTACTGGAATTCAATCCGATTTCGCTGGGAATTCCGGGGTTTTTTTAACTCCTCAAATCCCAGCTAATTTTTGGGGTTCCCAGCTGATTTTGGGGTGGGATTTTAGGGATGAAATACTAAAATTTTACTGAAACTTCATCCAATTTCACTGGGAATTCCGGGTTTTTTTAACTCTTCAAACCCCAGCTGATTTTGAGTTCCAAGCTGATTTTGGGGTGGGATTTTAGGGATGAAATAATTAAATTTTACTGGAATTCCATCCGATTTTGCTAGGAATTCTGGTTTTTTTTTAACTCCTGAAATCCCAGCAGAGTTTTTGGTGTTCCCCAGCTGATTTTTGGGTCTCCCCAGCTGATTTTGGGGTGGGATTTTAGGGATAAAATAATCAAATTTTACTGGAATTCCATTTTTTTTTTAACTCCTCAAACCCCAGCTGATTTTTGAGTTCCAAGCTGATTTTGGGGTGGGATTTTAGGGATGAAATAATCAAATTTTACTGGAATTCCATCCGATTTCACTGGGAATTCCGGGTTTTTTTTTAACTCCTGAAATCCCAGCTGAGCTTTTGGTGTTCCCCAGGTGATTTTTGGGTTCCCCGGGTGATTTTTGGGTTCCCCGGGTGATTTTTGGGTTCCCCAGGTGATTTTTGGGGTGGGATTTTAGGGACAATTTTGAGCAGAAATAATCAAATTTTACTGGAATTCCATCCGATTTCGCTGGGAATTCCGGGTTTTTTTTAACTCCTCAAATCCCAGCAGAGTTTTTGGTGTTCCCCGGGTGATTTTTGGGTTCCCCAGGTGATTTTTGGGTTCCCCGGGTGATTTTTGGGTCTCCCCAGCTGATTTTGGGCCGTTTCCTCCCCCAGGAGATGCTGAAGGACGAGGTGCGGACGCTGACCTACCGCAACTCCATGTTCCACAACCGGCACCTGTTCAAGGACAAGGTGGTGCTGGACGTGGGCAGTGGCACGGGCATCCTCTGCATGTTCGCTGCCAAGGCCGGTGCCAGGAGAGTTATTGGGGTAAATTATCCTGATTTTGGGTCAGTTTGGGTCAGTTTGGGTCAGTTTGGGGCAGTTTGGGTCAGTTTGGGTCAGTTTGGGTCAGTTTGGGGCAGTTTGGGGCAGTTTGGGGCAGTTTGGGGCAGTTTGGGTCAGTTTGGGGCAGTTTGGGTCAGTTTGGTGCTGGACGTGGGCAGCGGCACGGGCATCCTCTGCATGTTCGCTGCCAAGGCTGGTGCCAAGAGAGTTATTGGGGTAAATTACGGGGATTTTGGGTCAGTTTGGGTCAGTTTGGGTCAGTTTGGGTCAGTTTGGGTCAGTTTGGGTCAGTTTGGTGCTGGACGTGGGCAGCGGCACGGGCATCCTCTGCATGTTCGCTGCCAAGGCGGGTGCCAGGAGAGTTATTGGGGTAAATCCAGGGGATTTTGGGTCAGTTTGGGTCATTCTGGGTCATTCTGGGTCAGTTTGGGTCAGTTTGGGTCAGTTTGGGGCAGTTTGGGTCAGTTTGGGTCAGTTTGGGTCAGTTTGGGTCAGTTTGGGGCAGTTTGGGTCAGTTTGGGTCAGTTTGGGTCAGTTTGGGTCAGTTTGGGTCAGTTTGGGTCAGTTTGGGTCAGTTTGGGGCAGTTTGGGTCAGTTTGGGGCAGTTTGGGGCAGTTTGGGGCAGTTTGGGGCAGTTTGGGGCAGTTTGGTGCTGGACGTGGGCAGTGGCACGGGCATCCTCTGCATGTTCGCTGCCAAGGCGGGTGCCAGGAGAGTTATTGGGGTAAATTATCCTGATTTTGGGTCAGTTTGGGGCAGTTTGGGTCAGTTTGGGTCAGTTTGGGGCAGTTTGGGGCAGTTTGGGGCAGTTTGGGGCAGTTTGGGGCAGTTTGGGGCAGTTTGGGGCAGTTTGGTGCTGGACGTGGGCAGCGGCACGGGCATCCTCTGCATGTTCGCTGCCAAGGCTGGGGCCAAGAGAGTTATTGGGGTAAATTATCCTGATTTTGGGTCAGTTTGGGTCATTCTGGGTCAGTTTGGGTCACTTTGGGTCAGTTTGGGTCAGTTTGGGGCAGTTTGGGGCAGTTTGGGTCAGTTTGGTGCTGGACGTGGGCAGCGGCACGGGCATCCTCTGCATGTTCGCTGCCAAGGCTGGTGCCAGGAGAGTTATTGGGGTAAATTATCCTGATTTTGGGTCAGTTTGGGTCAGTTTGGGGCAGTTTGGGGCAGTTTGGGTCAGTTTGGTGCTGGACGTGGGCAGTGGCACGGGCATCCTCTGCATGTTCGCTGCCAAGGCTGGTGCCAGGAGAGTTATTGGGGTAAATTATCCTGATTTTGGGTCATTTTGGGGCAGTTTGGGACAATTTTGGGGTCACAGGGTAGATTTTGGGCTCCTAGGGTGGTGTTGGGGTGGATTTTGGGGTCCCGGGGGGATTTTTGGAGAGGATTTTGCCATCCCAGGAATGTCTGGGATGGATTTTGGGGTTTTGGGAGAGATTTTGGGCTGGATTTTGGGGTTTTGGGGTCTGAGGAGGTGTCGGGGATGGATTTTTTGGTTTTTGGGGGGGATTTTGGGGTGGATTTTGGGGATTTTGGGGTCCCTGACGTCCCTCCCCAGATCGAGTGCTCCAGCATCTCCGACTACGCCGTCAAGATCGTCAAGGCCAACAAACTGGACCACGGTGAGAGCCCCAAAATGCCCCAAAATCACCCCAAAATCACCCGAAAACAAACAAAAACCACCCCAGAACCACAGGGAACCCCAAACCCCCAAAATCACCCCAAAACAGCCCAAAAATCACCCCAAAAATGTAAAAAAACCACCCCCAGAACCACGGGGAGCCCAAAATCCAC